GAATAATGAGACACACCAATAATAAATGTAATCCAGGTTTTGGCAAAAATGTTAGCAGGAAGTTTAGTTTGTTGCTTGCAGATGTTTAGGAATATTTGCTCTGAGTTTATTAAATACTTGCAGCATCCGACAGCAACAGGATCCATATCAGCTCTCTAAAGAGAAAATAAATGCATTAATTTTATGCTCAGCAGCATTAACTTTATGAATTATTTCTAATTTTATCATCTCTGACATTGAGACAGGAGTGAACTTCATCACAGCTGTGGCAATGTTTTATTTTTCTGTTTGTGCTAGTTTATTTATTAGTTTATTATTAATATTGTCCATCACTTGATGAGCTTCCAGTCTTGGTTTATGACAAATATCATGCAGCAGCTCTCTCCGTCACTTTTTATGCCTAAATGAAGAACATTAAAAGTGTCTGAATGACTGAATGCCGTCACTTTAGCAGATAAATGAAGCAGCAATGTTGCGTATCTCATGTCTGAACGGGGCTTTAGATCCAGTCAGCAGCTTTTAAAGGAATGTTCAATTGCATGTTAGTCAGTAGTTTAGTTTCAATGTTCTGCTGCACATTCTTACTGTTTTCTCTTTCTTCTCTTCCTTCATGCATGAACTTACACCCTCTCCCGTCGTTCCTTCTCCTTTTCCATTCACTCTCCTTCCTCCTCCTCTGTTCTCCTTCCATCCATGAACAAACCGTCCTTTAACCCTCCAACCATCACGCTCCTTAACGCCCCCCCGTCCCCCACAGCGCACCACCTCTCTCCCCAGGCTCTCAAATGGAGGGAGTACCGCCGTCGGAACCCTCTGGGGGTGGAGAGGGTATCGGGGGGCCACTCCTCGGCGGGATCGGGCCCCCTGTCTGGCGGCGCTGAGGCCAGAAGGGGCGGGGGACCGAGGCCCGCCCGACGCAATGTGTTCGATTTCCCTTCAACCCACTCGGGCCACTCGCTGGGACGCCTCAATGGTGCTCATGACCCACTTAGAAACACTTTGGGTTTTTTTAAGGGGTTTAAGGTTTTTTTTTCTTTCAAAGTCAGAGTGAACTTTATTGTCTCTACATGTGCAATAATAATAATAATAATACAACAATAAATACAATAAATGATGGTAAATGTAAGACACACGTTTGTTTAAAGTCACTGAGGAAGAAGGACCACATGTGTACGAGGTCTTCCTTTGGTTGTCTAACGATTCCTGGAGGGTTTTAATGTTTCTGTCCCTTTCTGTCTCGGCAGCCGGCCAGTCGGCGAAGCTGCAGCAGAGCTACAGCGACTTCCTGCCTGACTACTTCTCCCTGACGGAGAAGCCTCCCGAGGAGTTCTGCCTCTCCCCCGATGCCTCCACGTCCTCCTCTTCCTGCTCCTCCTCGCAGTCGCAGATCTCCGTCGACCTGACGCAGAAGAGAGGTGGGGCTCCGACCTGGTGGATGTTTGTGTCAGAGTCAGTGGGAAGTCTCTGAATATTTCATAGCCGGGCGCTAAACGGCGATATCCAGCTGTCAGAGCTTCAGTTTACTGTTTGCGTTTCAGATGTAGGAGTCTAGAGCCGGCTCCTGCCTGGAGAAAACATGAGCCTCCGATTATGTGCACTAGTCATTCTGATTTGAACCCTCTGAACTCCAAAACTCCAGAAATCTGCCAAAAACACAGAAACGGAAACTGAAGTGTCATATTTTCAACCATCGACAGACGTTGAGCTCAACTTAAAATCGTGATATTTTGTCCAAATCGCTTGTCTCAGTTTAAAAATTTGCCAAAAATACTCAGTTTACCCCAGATTCTGTAAAAAACTAAAGATTTTGAGCTCCTCTGCGCAACCAAGAAGTCATTATTTACTGAGCTGTGACCAACAGTTACAGAGGATCACTCAGCTGTGCTGCAGGAGACGAGACAAGTATGCAATCTAAATACAAATATATCAATATTATTTAGAGTAACCCTATTATTTTTTAAATTTGTTTAACCCTGACACCTGTGGAGACTTGGAAAATGTACGTTAATTTTAGGCTGTTGTTTTTTTTTTCTTCCAATTTTTGTCAACCAAATAATCAAAGAGATGCAACGTTCATGTTTTGCTTCTTTATGGTTTTCAAACTGTGGTATACAGCAGATAAGAGATTTTCAACTTCTCTCTACTTCTAGCCTCAGTTGTGCTGTTTCCATAGAGGTGCAGGACTTCATATTGAAAGTGAAAAATGAGTTCACAGGGAGGGAAAATGCAAAAAAAAAACAAACGCCCAGGAGCTGCCTGGAGTTCAGAGGGTTAGGAAACCACTGGTTGTTGTTGGCATCAGTAGTGAGGCTTTAGGTGGGTGGATTTTTTGCAGTGTTATTGACTTTTAAACAAAGTTGTGTTGCGGATTTCTCAGAATAAGACTGGGATTGTCGCTTCGATTGCTGTCTGGTCTCTTTTGTCACCTCTGCACTACGAAATGTTCTGGAGCTGTGCAGCAGTTAATTATAAAGAAGAACACACAGACTTCCACAGCTGCTTAGAAGAGAGAATCCTACTAGTTGATTTAGTTCCTTAATATTTGGGATTCTTTCATCAGAAAGACACGTCTCTACTCCTGTCTCACCTCTTTAAAATCTAGATTTCTGCATCATTGATCTTCACTCGACTTCTTTCTAATTTTAAAAAAGCCTCCAGCAGGATGATGTGCTGTGTTTTTAAGGACCTTTTGGGTTCATACAGGGAGCCACAACAAGTCTGCTACCACGAATTCCTCTTGTGCTGCTGCATTGCAGACAGAATCCGATAAAAAGTCTCCCTTTACTGTTCTGATGATCACATTTCCAGATCACGGTGCTGTTGTTAGAGAGAACGGGGGGTGACTTGATGCTGCTGAAGGGTCCTTCAATGAAGAGCGCCTCTCAATGAGTCATCCAAGGCCTCTTCAGGCAGCTGGGGGCTTTTACAAGGCCAGCCGAGGGTCTGCTAGAGTCAAAGGGATGTAAATTTATCCATATGCAGTAGTGTGTGTGTGTGCGGTAGATGCTGATTTGTGTCCTCTAAGCTGGAGTAGAAGGTGGTATATAAACAACAACTGTGGTGTCGGAAATGGAGTATAATCCTGTTTTAACAAGGGAAGAGATGATCCGGCTTCAGGTGGATCATCCAGGTTTACTTCCCTGTACGGACCCAAATCTACACTGCTGAGGTCGGATTCATTAATCCTTATTTCACCTTTGACTCCCGTTCACTGTGTCCCAGAGACGTATTATTTATCCCGCAAGGCGTCTAGTGAAGCAAAAGTTCTTCTTGTTCAGCAGAAGTGTGCATCGCTGCCTTTGTGAGTGTTTTGAAATCTTCACTGAGATGTCGACATCGGTACATTTTGTGCTCGGAGCCGTTCGATTGCAGTCAGAAGACGGTCGCTGCTGCTCATTACACAAGTCGTTGCTGCTTTAGTAAATCTATAATAAATTAATGCAGATCTGGAGAGGACACAACATTTGCAATAGATGTCTATGCTAAACTATGATGCTTCTCACTTCCCTGCAGGAGAAAACACACATACAAGATTGTTTTGGGGGTTTCGTTACCTTCATTTAAAAGTTACAAAACTGGGAACTCATTGCTGAGAGTATTTGCACCTTATTTGCTCAGAAATCAGGCCACACTCCAAGTCATGGATTTAGTAGAATCATACAAAAAAAAAATCTTAAGCTACAGCCAACGCAAAGACCGTGAAGTGGACTAAAAATGCTTCTTTCCCCTTTCCTCCGTCAGGTTTGGTGAAAGCCGTGAACACAGCGGTGGATCTGATCGTGGCACATTTTGGTACCAGTAGAGACCCGGATGTAAAGGTAGGAGGAGATGTTGGTGCTTTAGATTCACAGATATCACAACTATGCCAAGTCTTTCTGAATATAAAAGGAGTGCTGGTTCTGCTGGTTGATTCGGGCTCACGGGGTAACATTTCGAAACTACGCCATGTCATCGAAAAGTTGAGGTGCTGTCAAGGTCACGAATCAGGAGACCAAGTAACTCCAACAACACCAGGACCTGTGTTGTGTTCCTTTTTGTGATCACGTGTAGGTGCATATTTGCGATTTCAGCATGGATCTCAAACTGAAACAAAAGGAAAACATCGTATTTTGTGTCAGTCGGTAGCCGAGATGATTCAAGCTTCTTGTGGCGGAGCATCGTAGTTGTGAGAGGCGGGTCTGTGGGTACCACCAAGAGAAGAAACAGAGCTTTACAAATGTTGTTTTCTTCAACATTCAGGCAATTTGTCACAGTGAATTCAGCGTCCACAGCTGGATTGTCGAGGCAGAGTTCTACTGTAACGTCCTAAGGCAGGGGTGTCGAACTCTGGTCCTCGAGGGCCGCAATCCTGCATGTTTTAGATGCTTCCCTCTTCCAACACACCTGATTCAAATGATCAGGATCGTTATCAGGCTTCTGCAGAGTTTGATGATGAGCTGATCCTCTGTCCTAAGGTGTCTGAGGGAGAACATTCAATGCAAATGACCTAAAGTGTGGAATGCTGACATGTGAATTGGATGTTTTGGTCAAGACAACACAATTGTCGCTCTCCGCTTGCCTTACCGGCCAGATTCACCTCCCTGCTACTTTTCGTCTTCCCATAACTGAAATTCAAGGTGAAACTTTCTAGCTTCAGTGCTAATCACAGCCGGTGCGTCACATTGTTTGTGTAACAGGACTTCCACGTAGTGTAACAAGTGATGCAGGAGCGCCGGGAGCAGAGTATCGCTGCACAACAAGTCTATGCCAACAGGAATACCAGATTCATATGAGGAGTGATTTTGGATTTTTATAGCCACAGTCTCTGAACTTCATGATCACATCTTGTGTACTGGTGTTTGCATACATTTAATTACGGCAACACAGTGCAATCAAGTTCAAAAGAATTTAGTTTAGTTGGTGAATTACATCAGTCTCACAGACAGATGGAGCCATCAGACCTTTTTCAGTTCTCCAGTTCAAGCTCATTCCTGCGTAATGGGGCTGACTTTGATCTTTTTGATGCACACCTTTCCTGACCAGCACTCCTTTTCTCCAAGCGGTTTCATGTGTTTATTTTCTGAAATCTGACTGATTTCCTGTGACTGTTTCTTTATTTGATAGGTTCACTCACTAAACTGAATACACAAAAAATGTATTTGCACAGGACTGATGAGACGTTTCATACGAGCTGCAGCTCAGTCTAATCCAGAGAGCACAAAGAAAAGCAAATACAGCCCGTCGTGATCCATCGATTGAACAAACAGATTATTTGCTCTCTCCTCTTTGATTTGCATGATCACACACGAGTAAATAAATCGTGCACGTGGTTAAACAGACAAATGCAGTCGTGGAAAAAAATCTCACTGAGGTTTATCTGTGATGTTTCAACTCCACCAGGCCAAACTGGGGAACAGCTGGGTGAGTCCCAACGTGGGTCACCTCATCCTGAAGTATCTGTGCCCGGCGCTGCGCGAGGTTCTGCAGGACGGCCTGAAGGCCTACGTGCTGGACCTGATCATCGGACAGCGGCGCTGTCAGCCCTGGAGCCTGGTGGAGGCGTCCACACAGCTGGGTGAGAACACGACTACGCTTATTTATCAAAAGTTGTTTGATTTTCCAACAAGTGCTTCACTCTCGCCTGCTAATAATCAACAGTAATCAGTATCAGCGTTATTATTGATCCACTGCGGTATTTTGCACAGCAGAACCTTCAAAATTCCATTTACAACATACAAAAGTTAGACATTAAATATTGTTCTGCTCCGAGGTGGTGAAGCAGTAAGGTGTTAGACTTTTATAGCAGAAACATGCTTTCTATTTAACCCATTCTTTAAAAATCAACCATAAACTGAAAACTTGTTGGTGAGGCACACGTCAGAAAGCTGAACAATATTTTATTACATCTAAAAGTGAACTAAACTATTGATAGAAGGACAATAAAAAAAGAAAAGTTTTAATTTTCAATAACTTCAGAGATTTTTTTGACTAATTTCTTAGATGCACAGTAACAAAAAAGTGAACTTATCTGATGACCAGTGTGGGGTTCTTGCAGTTAACTGTTTTTTAATGCTTGTCTCCCCTCAGGTCCGTCCACTCGTGTTCTCCACAGCTTGTTCTCTAAGGTGAGCCAGTACTCGGAGCTCACGAGTCACAGCATGAGACTGAACGCCTTCATCTTCGGCCTGCTCAAGTGAGTCGCTTTCTTTATCGCTCTTTTCATCGTTGTTTGCATTCTGAACGTAGAGATCAGGATCTTCAGGCTGGTTTAGCAGACAACTATCATATTGAGCTTTATTAAGATTTGTTAAAGTACCTTAATGTGGGAAAACAAAGTCTGTAAATATTAGTTTAGTGCACACTAAGTTCTCAAGAGAAAGTTACCACAATGCATTGGTCCAATAACCATGTTGCACTGCAGCACATCTCTATCAGCTGTGTATAAACGGCTCCATAATGCTACTAGAGGTCTAAAACTTTCCAGGGGACCATTAAGCTAAAGCTACTGCAGTGAGCTACAGTTACACACAAAATTGGAAATTCAAGAGCTCCTATTATTCTCTTTGCATTTTTCCATTTCCTTCAAATGTGTTTTTGCACATAAAAGAACTTTAAACTGGTGAGGCGCTGCAGCAACGCACAGTATCAGAAAAATAGCATGTTTTTGAATATTAAAGCATATTAAACCTATCCTAGCTTACCCCAAAATTTTAATAATAAACCTGTAAATGTGCAAATTATGGGCTCTTTAATATTCTATTTGGAAAAAGGCATTGTGCTGATGAATGGTTTGTCCCCAGTGGAGCAAGAATAAGACACAGTGAGCATTGATCTAAACTGTCGGAGGCACAGTGATGTTTGAGGAGGTTTATTTATGCTGAAAAATAACAGAAATCTTTTGTTTACTTATTGTGTTCTTCAGAATCATATCCGTGCTAAACGGTAGTTTCTGCTGCAACAGATGTATTTTTTCTTCATGCTGTTGCCAACTGCTGCTCAGAGCGAATCCAAGGGAATCTTTAGATTTGCTGAGTTTTTTACTTTATAGCATCTTAACCTTATTATGTGAAGTGCCCCGAGATATATTGTGAGTGGGCGACATATAAATAAAACTGGATTGAATTGCTTTTCCTTTGTTGCAGTTTTATAAAATGTTATTTTTATTCTGTTTCAGCCTAAAATCTTTGGAGTTCTGGTTCAATCACCTCTACACACATGAAGGTACGACCATAAGATGACATTTATCTTGTACCTTGTGCTTCTATTAATCTTTATGTACTGAGACAGTTGTCATATTTGGTTTTCTGTTTCTTCTGTCTTTCTTCAGATATCATAGCAGCACACTACAGCCCGTGGGGTTTCCTTCCCCTGTCGCAGGGGGCCTGCCAGCCCCTCTTTGAGGAGCTCCTCCTGCTGCTGCAGCCGCTGTCGCTGCTTCCCTTTGACCTGGACCTGTTGTTCGAGCCTCACCTCCTCCAGAAGGGCCAGGAGCAGCTGCGTCGCAAGGAGCAGCTCTGCTCCGCCGGCCAGAGCGCCGACCAGTCGAGCCGCTCCACCTTCCAGCTCATGCGGGGCTGGAGCACCACCGTCAGCGAGATGGTCCGAGACTCGGGCGCCGAGGCCAAGAAGGAGAGGACGGGGCTGAGACGAGAGGGGACGTGGCCGAGGATGGAGGTGGCCGGATCGAGACGGGACGGAGTGGGAGCGAAATCCAGGCTGAGGAAGGAAGGAGCGACGACCGAGAGCATGACGGACGAGCCTGCTGGCAGAGCGACGAGGATGGAAGTAGGGTTTGCTGATCTGTGGAGGGAGAGAGGGCTGGAAGGCCAGAGGATGAAAGGTGTCGGGCAAGAGAGCAGCGCCGAGAGTGAGGATGCACAGGACAGGAGGAAGGAAAAAGCTCCTGCAGACGAGGGGCGGCAGCGGCAGGACAGACAAGCCGGCTGGTGGTACCAACTCATGCAGTCCTCCCAGGTCTACATCGACCAATCCACAGAGGGCTCCAAGTTTGTCAAGGCCGAGAAGAGGAAGAAGTCATCAGAGAGGCGACAGGGACAGCTGCCGCCCGCCAGAGAGGGCGTGGTGGAGGGAGCGGAGTCCAGCCAGGAAGGCGAGATCAGGAAAAGCAGCAGCAGCGAGTCGACCGGGTCCAGAGGTCGGCCTTCGTGGATGGGAAGCCCCCCAGAGTCGGTCCTCAGCCAGGAGAAGGACGCAGATCCTCTGGAGGTGGCAGGGGCCGGAGCTCAAGCTGCAGCCCAGGAGGAGAGCCCCTCGCACGGGCAGAGTCTGCGCTGGGGCAGGCTCTTTGGTTCCAGTCTCGGTTCTCCCTTGAGAGCGGAAGCAGCAGAACAGAAGGCAAAAACTCAAAAGACAAGGTGAGGAAAGGCTGTCTGGATTATGACTGACCAAAAGCAACAGAGGTTCTACCAACAAAAGTTGTTCATTAAGTCTCAGTCCTGTGTGCCGTAGACGCATCAATAGCTGTGTTTCAGGAACACATTCTAGTGTTGCATTAGAGAAAGTCACCAGAAAAGGCAAAAACTTCACAAAATAATGTTTACTCACTGTCTGCTTGTGCATGATATTTTTCTTAATGTCAGCAAAATCCTTCAAAATACCAAAAACAACAAATATTCTACTGACAAATATTGTTTGTGCAGTTTGAGTTCTCGGTTAGTGTCGGTGGTGTTTTAAATCTAGTCAGAACACATTAACAGCTGTGTTTCCATCCCATGTTTTGAAGGTCTGCATTAGAAAAGGTCACTAGACACAGCAAAATCCTAAAAAAAAAAAAAAGACTTCACCTATTGTGCAACAAAAGAAGAATGAACAGTCAGTTTGGATTTAATATTTTTCCAAAAGTCTATCACAAGACTGAAGCCAGCAAAGATTAGTCAAGTCTAATTCCTTTATGAGCCCCAGTGTTGTTTCAAAACTAGTAAAAATACATCAGCAGCTGTGTTTCCAGCACATACTTTGAGGTATCGCGTTAGAAAAGAAAATCTTCACATATTCCACAAATAGAAGTATGCTCACTGTCTGTTTTTGTTCAATATTGTTCTCATTGTCAGCAAAATCCATCAAAGACTAAAACCAGCAAAAATTCTACAAAAAAATGTTTGTCAAGTCTAATTCCTGTGTGCTGTGGTGCCATTGTTGTCCAAAAACCAAACAGATGATGCTCACTTTAGGTGGTTTTTAAGAGCTGACAGGCTTCATAGTTTATCTTCTTCTTCTCTGCTTGTTACGTTCATGCGTCATGCAGCATTTACTGCCACCTCCTGGCAACACAGGATAGTTTCTCTGCTCCGAAGCAATCTGATTTGCATTTCGTTTTTTGCAATATTTGAAATGTTCACCTTCATATCCAGTTTTATGGAGCTACAGCTGCACTGGGTAGCACACACATTCCTGCTGCTGTTACTAAAGCGTCTTCATCTACAGCTGAATATAGTCCAACATAGAAGCAGGGGCCAATCAGATTTAAGAGGAAGTCTGACGATTTTTAAGTTCAAACCTGCTAGTCTAGGTCTATTTACAAGAGCTGTAACCAAGTAGAAAAGTATGACTGCCATGAGGCTCATCTTTAAAGTTTTAAAACTATCTCAATGTTTTATTTTCTCAGGCCTCCGTCAGGTTGGCTCGGCTTGGACAGATCTGTTCTTGACCTCGTAGCTCAGACTCTTGGAGGAGGAAGTGGCAAGAAGGCGGAGAATCCTGCTACACCCACTCACCCCCAAACCACAGCCGCAGCAGCATCCAACCAGCCGAGTGAAGCCAAACAACGGTCTACGTGGTGAGAAACCGCTGCACGCTCACACCAGAGAAACACGCTACATATATATTCATCTGTTTGTCCAGCATACGTCCCTCATATCTAAAGATTTGGTTAAAACAGCACCAACATATATGAGGTCAGAATCAAATGAAAGCGTGCAAATGTTTTTAAAGTGAGCGTCAAAACAACAAACAAACAAACAACAATAAAACAAAAAGACAGGCCCAATGGAAAAGTATTTTTGTAATCATGTCTCTAATTAAAGACTCAGTGAGGAAGTGAAAATGTGTAGCACACTTAGGTCACTGATTGAAGAATTTTTCAAGATTTCGAGACCTTTGTTTGTCACAAACACAGTTATACACAGTGTAACACGCAGTGAAATGTATTAAGCAGAAGAATTTTAAAAAAAGGACACACAAGAAACAATTATATATATTTTTGTGCCCGTAAATGAGATTTTAGCCACAGCACTGAAATGATTGAACAATTAAGAATAAAAAATATATATATGCATATATATTAGTTATAAGTTTTGCCAATTGAGGTTCAGTTTAGTGAAGCATGAAAGACATTTTTGTTTATTATGTGGTGAACATATATTTTTGTGGAATAATGTCACACAGACTCATTTCCTCATCGACCCATTGTCAGTGAATCTACCGGCTACTTCACTTAATGATTTCTCATCTGCTGACTGCTCTTTAAAACGTCAGAAAAACCTGAAAAATGTCACAATTTCTAAAAAGTGATCTCTTTAGATTGTTTGTTTCGCCTGGTGGACGTTTCAAAACACAAACACATTGAGATTATTGTCAATTTGCAGAGCAGAGAATCTGAAAAAGACACTTTTCTCACTACTCTGCACATAAACTCATGTTTCACCAATGCTGCATGTACAACGTGCTCCCTTGTACACCATTGTTGAGCCAAGCTGCACTTATTTTAGTGATCGGGTGTGTTGTTTTATTTTCCTCTCAGTCTAAGTTGTCTCCCCTCTGCTCCGTGTACACACTGCCTGCAGTTCAGCCAAAAAAGATACAACATTTTTATCACGTTGCAGTTTAGTCATTGTTGGTTTCCCAGTTGTGCTGAGAAGTGCAGAATTGTTGTTTTTTTAACAGAATCTGTTTATTTTGGGCAGTTTTTAAAATGACAAATGTTGAATAAATTTCCCAGTTTTATGCTTAGATTTAGTCGCTTTGCCCAACAGAACCACACCTGACACATGAACAGTTCAAGGACCATTGGAAAATTGTAAATCAGATGATTCTCTCTGTTTTTACAGTTTCTGGTTGTACTTTGGTTCATTGAACACCCGTTTGGGGTTCAAAGGGATAATTATATGTTCCTTATTTTATGTTATTATGAATGAGTTGCATAACAAACAACACAATAGACGTCCTCCCCTCAGACTAACTAAACTATCTCTATACAGAGATTTAAACATTTACACTTTCTGTAGTAAGATTGTGAAGGTGATTAACCTTCAAGAATGTGTTTTTTGCACAAGGCATCATTACTTCTCTAAAGGCTGCAGATCCTGTGATATCCTTGTTTCTCTCTTGTCATTAGTGAGGTCCGAGCGTTGTGCCACCACATAGCCACCGAGCCCGGCCAGCTGAGCTTCAACAAGGGCGACATCCTGCGAGTTCTGAGCAAGGCCGACCCCGACTGGCTGCTGTGTTCTCTGGGCTCCGTCCAGGGTTTGGTCCCCATCATCTACGTCACCCTCAGCGGCATGGACGACAGCCAGGACGCCGCCGGACTCGAGCAGTGCTGAGAAGGGGAAACGATCCACAAGATGAAGCTCTGGGTATCCCTGCCACTGATTTACTTGATATCCTGTTTTGGGCTGTACACGGGGGACTGATTCCTGACGAACACTGTAGAAAAAAAATGAAGATGATGTACAGACACGTGCGAGGGAAGCATGCAGGCTCAACCACAAACTCACATCTGCTTCAAAAAAAACCAGACAAGTATGCATGCATACATCCAGAAACCAAAAGACCAGAAAACAAACCCAAAGACTCCAACACACGTTCTTTCTCTGCGTGACGCTGTCCGACCCGCTTAACTCTGTGACCGTCCAGTCTATAGATCACCCATCTCTACTGTCAACAACAAGAGGAGACGGTAATCTTCACTCTATGATATACTGCGTACCATGACTGGCTGCACTTTGCTGTACTGTCTGTACATTCACCTCGCTGTGCCACACTCTGAACACAGTGCTCAGTTTTTGCTCTCAGCCTGGTCCGACGTCCTGTTGCTTAATTAGTGCTGATTTCATTCGCGTAGAGGCCAGTGAATCTCTGATTTTTTTTATTTAATATTTTTTAGGATTTAAGGTGGTTGATATAAAAGCAAAAAAATAAACAATGAACTTTCTGATCCATGTCAACTGTAGTCGCGGAGAATTTGAGAGTAGAAAGAGTTTGTTTTAAAGGCTTTTTAACCATTTAAAGTAAAAACGAAACAAAAAAAATCTGTTTCCTTTCCTCCATATGTCTTTTTTGATCACTGTTCTTCAAACCTGGTTTCTTCCAAGACGATTGGATGGATGTACTGACTGCAGACTGTGTAGTAAAGATGGAAGTCGCCACTGTGACGTCACTCATTGGTTTTTGGTCATCACTGTCTTGTTTTGTTTTTTTAATCCAATATGACTACGTGGGCCCACATGTTGGCCACAGCATCCTTTATTTCTACGATTCCCATTCATTGTCTTTGTAGACAGTCGCGTGATGCGTTCTTGTAGCAGCGTGCTGAGTTTCGAGAGACGAGGCATCACATTGGCCCCTCCTCGTTTGCATGAAGTTGAGGTCAAGACTCTTTTTGCAAATCAGAGGTGTCTGCCGTGACCCTCTGCTTCTGGAAACTCTCGAAAAACTGTTAAACTGATTGCAGTCGATTGAAAATGAACATAAATTTAGTAGCCTGTTTCTCACCTCAAACGTTTTCAGAAACACATTTTGGGGTAGTCCTTTAACAGTATTAAGGCTTCCAAACCAGCCACCGTGTTGGTCCAGTTTACAATCAAGTGAGTGTAGAGTTTGTCCAATCAGGTGCAACCAGCAATTGTGCCATTGTCGGAGGTTGTAAACTGTATTGGTTCCCAGTTGGTGACCATCTGTCAATGATCTATTGTAACATTGCCTAGTTCAATGTCCAACAACCCCTGTGGACACCTAACATCAGTCACAAGGAAGAACAAATCTAAAACATACCCCGCTTTATCGTCTATTCTGCTCTAAATGAGACCATAATTTGTTAAATTTCCGCCATGTTGTCTTGAAGTAGACTTGAAGCAAGCAATCGAGACCATAGACTTTTCAGGAAAGTGTTTACTGATTTATCAAATTAAGGGAGAAGTGCCGTAAATTTCTCATAGAATGGAGTACAATTGAGTCGCCCCCTGCTGGCTATGAGAAAGAAAGCAGGCACTTCTGTGTTGGCTTTGCTTTTCATAAGCATTGTCCATCTTTTATAAACAGCTAGCCTTTTCATCCTGGGATGAAACTATGGCTGACAGAAACGACAGAGTGCCAATAACTGCAGTTCCTTAAATGGCCACTAGAGGCTGGAGTCAACCTCCATAGACTTCCATGTTAAAATGTCCAACTTTACAGCAGAAACCATAAAACAAAAAATTATTTTGATCTTTATAGGTGGAGCATTTTAAATAACTCACCTGTTTAAACTGAATCAGGTCTCAAAGTAATGCAAATTTACGGTTAATGTTTGCATAGCGCCACCTCTTTGCTCATTCTTGCATTTGCTTGGATTTAAGAGGACACTGCCGAGCTGACGTCACAGAGGGTTCATCCATCTTAATCTACAGTCTACGAGTTGTTTCATTGCATGTAACTTCACAAAAATGTTGTCTTTTTCCCGTTTCACCTCAAACTCGAGAGGGTGGCTTGTGATGACGAACGCAATCGAGCGAGTGGCCGTTGGTACGTTCTGTAGACGCATAAATGACTTACACGTATGATAAGTTCTATTTATTTATTGACTGGTTTATTTAACTGACCGAAGCATCTAAATGGACAGAAAACGGGAATGTCTAATGGAAGCAAAGGTCTGTGGGGACATTTTTCAAAATGATTGCTAATTAGTTTCACGTTTTTGCATTTAGAAAGGGGTTTAAAAAAAAAGAAAAAAAAAGCTCTTCTATGCCTTAAAGTGCTTGAAGGAAAAAGAGGCAGTCGCCCAGTTAGTGAGATAATATTTGTCCCGACATCACGGTATATTTTGTATATGCTACGACGTGACATTTTCCCCAGATTCATGTCTGCACAGATGCTTCAGAGGAAAGTATTGTGAAGAAATAGAAATCTATGGTGATATTTTTGTGATGCTTAAAGGGAAACCACCAACACATTTTTGTGCTGGCGGCTTTATGGGCGCGCTACCTGTCGCGCCCAGGTGTAAAAATGTGGCCTTAGGTTCAAAAAGAGTTGACGAAGAACAAAAAAAAAAACCCGGCTGTATACAGTAAACCTGCATAGATGTTAACTGTATACACATGCCCAGTCTGAATACTACACATTAGAAGGTGGTAAAATCTATGTACATTTATTAAATAAATGAATGCTTGTGTATTTTTTTGAGAATCTTACATAGGATATAATTTTACCATTTATTTTCTTTTTGTTGCATTATTGTACAGTTTTTATTTTTATGTATGATTTTTAACATTTAACGTCAACTCTCATCGAACTGTAAATATATTTAAATCATGCAATGGTTCAGTTCTGCCATAGAGCTATATGTACGAATGTCATTAACGCATTTTATGTTAAATACAGAAAGCAAGTATAAGCTTTAGTTTCACCGCTAACAACCTGATGACTATAACACAGAGTTTCAGAGGCAGTTCGCTGTGTTCGTTGACATCGAGCTCAGAGTTCACGGGAAGTAAAACACATCGTAGTGATTAAAAACCAGAGAGACACGGAGGCTCAGGGGGGTCAGAGGCAAAGACAGATTCACTTTTAATTAGATTCGCTGAAATGTTGTGCATTTAAAGTAGAAGAGGCGTCAACGAGAGGAAGAAAGAAGGCCGCTTCGTTCCTTTTTTCCTTCTCTCAGGTCTGTTTTCTCTGTGCTTTCTCTCTGCCGGCTGCCTCCTGCCTGTAAATACCTTCAGCATCAGTGACACTGCTCTTCTCTCTGTGTCCAGGCTATATGATGTGTACGTATGACATTATCAAACTACTATGGATGTTAAATAACAAAGTGCTCATGTGATCACAAACTCTCAACGCTCCTGTGTCTTTTGTCCTTTAGCTTAAGGCTTCTACGGTCCAAATACTAACTCAAGGGATGTGTTTCTATCACTCAATTAATGCATGGTTGCAAAATAAAATAAAAAAATAAAAAAAAAACCTAATTTACAGATTTACAGATGTAGATAAACTATTTAAGCAGCAACCATTATTTTTGATCGGCTGGGTTGTCATCATAATGCTGCATCAGCGATATTATGAGTATATTCAACACAAATGTTTGCGTTACTTGATTTAAAAGTGAATTTAGGTTGAGTTAACTAAATAAACTCAAGCTTCACACAGCCAAATGACGACCTGTTTGCTTTAGAACTTATTTGAACATGCTTTTATGCTTATTCTTGCATGCTATGAACTTTTTGCACTCTCAAAAACCCTGCTTTGGCTCAACAAACAGAATTAACGCAACAGTTGAGATCAATCTTTTTGAGTTTGGACATTTTCTGATGAAATTATGTTCAACCGACAAGCTGAGTTGAGTTAGGGGAATTAGTTTTACCGCTACAATCAAAGATATTTTTTATTTCAACTCCCCATCTGCACCATAACAAGCCTGGACTATTACAGGAGGTTAACACTGAACATTAAAAGTAGTTGATCGAAGCGTCAAAGATGATTTTCTGAACTAAATTTAAGCTTGTTGCTTCAACGCGACTCAAAAAGATTAATGGAAACTGTTGCGTTAATTCTGTTTGTTGAGCCAAAACATTATTTTTGAGAGTGTAGAAACTCCATAGCAACAAAAATAAGCATCAAACTCAATTCTAAAGCAGACAGGTCGTCAGTTGGCTGTATGGGGGCACGTTGAGCAGCCCTTTAGCTCCGGCTAATGCTGCCTGATAGTGCAATTTTTACTGGTTAATCAGTCTGTTCACAAGAGCTTTATATCGACTCAATACATCCCCATCTGTACAGTCTTCTATTGTCACAATTAGTCTGTCCTAACTATCCCATCGGCTTGTCCAAGTCTTCATTTTATGCTCTGGTAAGTATTTTTATTTTGGTTTTACATTTTTCTCAATGAAAAAAAAATAAAAATCAGACTTAAGATGATCAGTTTTTGACTGAGGCTTTAAGTTGTGCCATTATTTTGAAAGAACATGGCTGTGGCAACATGCTAAGTCCCCACTGACATTGTGTTACAAGTGAAGGACTCGATATAAACAGGGACTGAGGAAACTCCAAATGCAGGGTAAGTCCAAATTTCAGCATCGGAAACTGCAGCACTGAGTTTTTGTTCTGACTTTGTGTTTAATTAAGAGGACACGACTAATAGGACGACCTGAGGGCTCAACCAGAAGGAAATCCAATAAATGGACAATACCAAGATCATCAAGAGTGTTAGAAACCAATTAAAGGATTTAAAAATCAATTCTAAAGCAGATAAGTGGTCAAAACTGGTACAGCTGAGTTTTGAAGCAGTTGAAGTTGAGATAGCAGTTTATTACAACAGCAGGTGATAGAAGTGTGTAGAAGTGTTTGGACTGAGAGGGAAACAGTCGCACTCCAGCAAAGTTCCTCTGACGATAAATACATTCTTAGTTATGTTTTTATGTTTGGTTGCTTTATACTGCACAAATGGTTTGACTGGTACTAATAGCAAATATACACATTTTAACAGACACTTCTCAACCACAGTAAAGCAGAAATCTTGTTCACTTGATTTATGTTTGTGGGTCAGGTTTAATAATCTACAATATGTTCTATATGTTCCACAGTTCAAAGTAAAGGGACACACTTCTCCCAGCAGGCGGTGCTGCTGCATCAGAATACAAATCTGTTTCATTGCCAAGTTAAGCGTTTTGGTGGCTGGCAGTAAAAACTAACAAGTAGAAAAACGTTTAGAGGAGGATAAACGATTAAAAAGGCAAATGGTTCAAGTCAAATAAACAGTAAATGTTACAAGACACATAAGAAGAAAGTAAGTGCAGTTTAACTATTAATCAGTTTACATAAACTGATGTTAAATTAAACCACGTTTACTGAAGATCAGGGATGGATTCTGATATTCTACCTCTGTAAATGTACCAACAGCACAGTGCAGAAATACTCTGGTACAATTAGAAGTCATGCATATAAACACGTTTCAGTTTAGATACAAAATTTAAGCACTGGAATAATTAATGTACTCATCATTCAGAATAATGCAGATTATTATTGATTATTGATGCATTTGTGTTTATCACTTTAATGTTTTACCCTGCCTTCGCCCTAAGTCGGCTGAGATAGGCTCCAGCCCCACTGCGACCCTAGTATAGATGATGGATGGATGGACTTTAATGTTCTAGTTGGTAAAGTTAATTGAACTACTTTACTTCAGTTGCTTGTGAATATCCCTTCAAAGATCAATATATTATATCTTAATGTATAATAATTCATTTTTGGATTTTATTTTGGCTAAATACTTAGCAGATGTAGTGAAGTAAAAAGTATAATATCTGCATTAGAGTTGTAGAGGAGTGGAAGTATGAAGTAGCAGAACATGGAAATACTAAATTAACTCAATATTGCATGTAAGTACAGCACTTTAATAAATACACGTGCTTATTTCCACCACTGCTCAAAGTACCTTTAATAGCCAAGTGCCCAAATACTTTTTAACTTTTGCAATTTGAGCTTTATGTGCTAAAAGCTTCAACTCTGTTCTCTCTAAATTCATGTAAACTGACCCATTTTATTGTTCAGCAATGACAACTGAATGTGTTTAAGCACAGAATGTAAAAAACAAACAAACATGTGCAACTATCTAAATACTTCTAGTGGACCGTATGTGTCAGATCCATATATGACCACCAGGAGGGGAAGGAGTCTGTCCTCACAAATCTGCTTCACACTGTGTTTGAATTATTGTTTGAATCCCTCAAGTCATTATATTTTATTCTAATTATATGCTAAAGTTTACAAAGATACCAAATTTTAAATAATATGATCATTCAAACACATTTTCAGAAAGTGTTAGAATTTTAGTGGAAAATTGTCTCAAACAGCAACACGTCTTAAAAAAAAATAAAATAATCCCTGTATATTTACTTAATAGGGTGTAAAATATTGTTTTTCTAACATCAAAGATACTTCTATTTGTTACGTTCATCTGTTAAACTTTTATTATCTGTACTAGTGCACACTCTTGACCTTTACATTTAAATTAGTCAGGTAAATTTATATCATAAATAACATTATAGAGTCTTCACATTTTAACCTGGTAGGTAAATTTGTAACATTACTCATGCAGCCTAAATGATGATACAAACATCAATCATAAACAGTGGAAACAATACTGCAAATTTTTGTTTCTGTCTATTGAGCAGGTTGGTTTGTCCTTAATTGACACTTGGTTCGTCCAATCACACCTTTAAGTCCCGCCCCTTTGGACTAATTAGCCTTCATTAGCCTTCATTAGCAGCATCCGAAAAAAAAAAGTAAAACCTGCATAAAGTAAAAGTTACAAACAAATTACAGGAAAAGACATGTTCTTCGGAAAGATGCTGTAAAGATGAGCAAAAACTCCTGCCATGTCTGCTGCAGCAGCATCTTCAGCTCAGCGAGGAAGACAAAGGTAAGCAGAAGCTAATGACGAGCTAGCTGGCTGCTCAGAGTTAGGCGATTAGCATGGTTAGCATAAAGCTAAACTACTCGGGACTCCAGGAAAACATAAAGAGACTCTCGATAAATGCTAGTGGTGGACAAACTAGCTGGTGTTTGTAAATGTATGCTGACAAAATTACAATAAAACTACTTTTGAATGATTTGCATGGCGCCAGGTTGGCTAGCTTGCTACTTATGCTAACGTAGGTCTAGCTTCTAGTGGCTCGCTAAAACTGGCTAATAGTGATGGAAACTAAGTACTTTGAGTTACTGATACTTTACTTGAGTATTTCCACCGTTTGCTCCTTTACACTTCCACTTGACTACATTTATTATGTCATTTATTATAATATATCAGTCAGAGGGACCAAACTAGGACTTGTACTGTCACTACATTTTGCTGCTAATACTTTTACCTGTCGTGGAGTACTTTTATATTGCCTTGTTACTTTATTCAATGATCTAAGTTTTTTCCTGGCTCACAACAGATTTTTGGGTTCTGACTACACACAACAGTAAGCATGATCGGTCAGTGTTATCTTTATTGACTGAAATCAACGCATTTTCCTGATTTTCTGACCACTGGATAAATAAAAATGTGTATTATAATCAAGTGAGTGAACGTCCAGTGAACAAAACTGGTTAAAAAGTGTTTTAAAATCACAATTCTTTATGATTTGGTGCTGGTATTTTTTATTTTTGTAAAGTAATATCTAATGCAAGAGAAGCCCTGTGGGGTGAACAGCTCGCTTTACTGAGCTGTTTAAAACTAATCATCTGATCAGTCATTATGTTTACTCCCTCTGTCTATCACTTACACTTTAGCATTTTTTTGTGAATTAATCCAAGGAGTTCACAGGCTGGCGTCCTTTTAACTCAGTGAGAGTAGTTTATTCAATGCTACTTTATCTGATCTGAGTCATTGTTTCTGTTCTCTGTCTGCCTGACAGCCGGTGTACAACATTGCAACATCACTCTTTTAAGGTATTTGTCATATTTCCATTGTCGTCCTCATGCTTGATTCCCTTTTAATTATTGCACAATTGAGGAAGTAGCACAGTCGATTTAGTTCCTTGTCATTGACCGCAATGTGGGGTTTAAGTATGGGTGGTGTGCGATGCCAGGGGCTGATTTTTTTGTTTTTTTGTTATTTGATTAATCCCAGTCCAGCCCTGGACCATGCAATCCGTCAACATGCACTAAATGACCAATAATCTGCATTCATCCCTGTAATTATACTTTGGGGATTTTTTTCCCCCTGTTTCAACAGGCCAGTGCTGCAGAACAATCTGCTGATCAAAAAAATAAATTGTTTCCTGGTTCGGTGTGGAGGAACTTCACAGGTCTGCACAGAGCTCTGATCTTAAATCAACCTGATGTTTGGCGGGAAACATACACCGGAGATGCTGGTTTCAGAATTCTTTGTAGTGGAAACAGTGATTTACATGCGGTCATTTTTAATGTTTTAATCATATGTTTCATTCATAATTTTTGTGTTTTGTATGCATGCATTTATTAGCATTACGATCCTAATATTGTCTCCTCTCTAAGTAATTTTTTTGAGTTTCATCCACCACACCTTTCCTTTTTTGAAATGTTTGTCCTGTCAAAAAAAAGCAACCCAGAAGTGTACCACGAATTTATTTTATTTGCAATTTGTTGAGATTCAAATACTTTTTAATTTGTCTTTTGATTTTCTTTGAGTGTCAAAGTAATTTGCATTAAAGCTGCTTGGCTCTTGCAAGACATTGTTGGAAGTGCTGCAAATTACTCTAATTTTCCATACTGACAGAATCTGACACACAGGAAGATGTCACTCTTGCAGAAACACGTCCACAACTACACAGTACTCTGTGAATCATATGTGACAGTAAATCCTCTTTTGTGTGGTAATTTACAAGGAACTACCTGAGATTGCTGTGAACAGTGAAATCCTTTTTTCCATGGAACCCATAGATTCACAGGGTCTTGTCACGTCTGAGCGGCCTGATGCAACACGGGAAAGTTACTGTGAAGACAGAACAACTGTTTCACCATTGAAGATGCATGTTTGCATCATATTGACGTCAAAGAAGTGATATGTTGATCGTCTCTTATGCAGCTGCATTTGTATGAACTCCTTCACCTTTATCTTATGTCCTTGTTGAAGAGAGTTATGTTTGTTTCTTGGAACTCTGCTTTGGCAGTGCTATGTGGAATGAAATTTGAACACTAATTTTGGCATGTTTGCTGGTGACAACAGCGTTTTTCAAAAGCCCAACAGGTAAATTTTCATCCTTTGTTTGCCAGGAACATTTGGAGGAGGATTAAAAGGCCTTTTAAATTTTCAGACTAAACATAACCAGGAAATGAAAGTCAGTTGAGCTGGTGGTGACATCAAGGTCAGACGGATCTGAAAATCGAAACCTAGAAAAACATTCTGTCCCTTCAACAAACGCAGTTGACTTCAGGACATTTGACCGTGATGACTCTTCCTCCAAATGTCAGTTTCACTGGACATTTAGCATTGTGCATCCTTCAAGTTCTTCTCACAGTTCCTCTATTTGTCGATTTGTAACACAAAACCACTACAACAGTGATGCCCAATTAATGTCTCCGGTACTTAGTCTGTAGAGGTTTTAAGTTACCATAAAAGGAGAGAAGGGCAAACACTTAAAAGATGTCAACTCAAAACCACAAAAGCTTTGACAAAATGGAGCCGCAGGATCTCGTATGACATTTTTCTGTTTACTAATGGAAGCACTGGCTTGAGTCAGGAGTTGCTGCTACTTTTCATCTGTGACAGTGATGAAAGTGAAGCCACAATCTGTCAGTTTAAGTGTGTGGTCTGCTGCCAAATTTCAGGAGAACAAGCAAAACATAAAACCAAATTAGCACATTTGTGCATTCGTGATAGAAACATGATTGTAGCCTTTGCAGAAAAAAATAATTAGTGTAATTAGTGAAGTTTAAATTGCATAAAAAGTGTAAAGTTGATGATAAATCGAGATACTGTCACTGTTACGTGTGCATTTGCAAGCTAACTTGTCATTTAAACTGCTACGCAAGTTATAGGATTTGTCTTTTTGTCATGGATGATTTATTGTGTTAATGATACTAATTATTGCAGTCAAATCGATTTATCTAAGAGCCTAACCTCAAAACGAGGCACTTGTTTTACTTTGACAAACTGTAACCCCATAATGCACCATGGTGCAAAAATAGTTTTTAAAAAAAGGCTTACAATGGGGCGCCGCTATAGCTCACCTGGTTGAGCTGGCGTCCCATGTGCAGGGCTACAGTCCCAATGTGGAGGTCATGGGTTCGATTCCCGCTCATGACCCTTTCCCACATGTCTTCTCCCCATTCTTCTTTCCTGTCTCTCTCTCACTGAACTATCAATCAAAGGCCAAAAAAATAACTTAAAAAATAAAAAAAAAGGCTTACAAATTAAAGTGCAAAACTGGAGAACTCCAACATCACAGAAATAGATTAAAAAGGGGGCTTAATATTTGTCAGTAGTGCAAAATTCAAATTTCTTTTAAACCCACCTTGACAAATTAAAACAAAAAGCAACTGTTTCATTTCTTTTCTGCTTTTTGTGCAGTTGCTTTCTGACTTTGAATTTTAAGACAGTATTGCCAAATCCCTGCACAGCTGTCAACTTTAACTCGCGTATGGCAAGTATGCTGGAGGAAGTTGTGATGATGAAAACTGGATTGTAGCGGTGCACAGCAGCAGCTTGGAAGTAACTGCCGGTCAACACGAGGTCCTGGTAAGCCGTGTTTCAGTCACTGTTTCATACTAGTTTGATTGTCTGACAACAGAAACAGAAATGTAAACAGGAACAGCTATGCTGGGAGTTTCCAAATATGTGAGCAGAGAGAGCAGGAGAGAAGCAAACACATCTCTTGAGGTGATCAGAAGCTGTGCTGCTGTGGTCTGCTAACCAATCACAGCACACGTAACAAATCACCTGTTTGTTCTGTTGTAATTTTAAAAAATTTAACGCACTCTTGAAGCCTTACATCTGTGGAAATTTTTGACCGAGTTGGACTCTCATCTGTAGCACTGACTGCATCTGACAAATGGCTGCAGCCAAAAACGACTGCCAAAACATTTCTTCGGATGAATTAAAGTTTTAAAAACATGTGTCAACTAAAAATGTGGATTTTTGAAGCAGTTTGAGCTTCATCGTCATTGATTGTGCCGTCTAATTGTGGCAGCTGTTCTGTATCATTTTCATCCTCTAAAGAAATGGAAAAAACGTGCACATGTGATTATTAAATCACCTCCAATCTAGCAAAACACAAAATGTACAGTTGTTTGACTGCTGAGTAATACGAGTGTGTGAATATAATGTTGGGATGTAATAATCCAGCAACTGTATGTATCAAAGTGAAAGAAAAGCAGTCTGACGTGATGTTTATTTTTCAAGTGTTTCTTCATGTTGAAACAACTAGTGTGACGATTAAGCAAAGTAAATAAGGCCAACTGCTGGTTAACAAGTGGTTTTTCCATTAAACATTAAAACCATTTGAAGATGTTTGTTGCATTTTGCTGTAATTTGGTGGAAAGCAAAACAAATAAATCCCTAAAAATAAACCCAAGTTTTATTTTGCGAAAATGACTTTGCAAAAAAATAAAGATTATTTCCTCGTTTTCACTCCCAGCAGAGTGAAGAGTGTCGTCGACAAAGAATCACAGACATGATCAGAATGTGCATAAAAATAGATTTTATTAATTCAAAGGAGCAACACTCAAATAAATCCATACAACCAATAAAGTTCTGCAGCCTTTTGAGTTGTCTTACTGAACAAGACACTCACATTCACATTTTGGATTTTGTGCACCAACCTCAGACTTCTAAAACACAAACGCTATAAAAATATAAAACTCCTTCAAGGTGTTTTTATTTTATTTGCAACTCAAATGAACATATGAAGACAAAACGGGAAAAGCTCATTATTAACAGGACGAATCAATCAGTTTTTATATTCTTATATTATTTTAGTGGTGTTAATGCAAATATGTTCTTCTGCGACACTTTGGGCTGTTGCTGTGGATGAACGGGTCCAAGTTTGGTTTACTGGGGCTTCACTCCCACGCAGCGTCGGCCCTGTAGAAACACAAATATTTAGAAACCAAAGACAGTCAATCCATCATGGCTTCAAACTGAACCTCCTGTCCCCCCAAAATAGACTTTTCTGCTCATCACACTCCATAAAAGGTGGATTATGTTGCATGGTTAGACTTCTGCTCTTATCCTAACGTGCTTTTTACAGTAACAGTTGGAAATTTTTGTGTGAAATTCTCTAACATTAAGGATACTGTATGCTGGGGAAGAAGTACAACAAAGCCATTTTTTTATTGTTATTTAACCAGACAAGATGCTTCAACATTGTCATAGAATCTTTCAGTGACAGTCGAAATATCTTTTAAATCTAAATCCATTTAATTGAATTCACCAATTTCAAAGGCAAAAGACTAATCATCATGACAGTAAAGTGAGCTTTATAGTGATTTCAGTTCCTACTTCTGTGCAATCTCATGACTCAAAGTAGCAGCAGTTGTGGTTTTGCAGTTCAGTGATTTTAAACCCACTTGAGATCAAATGAGGCATGAAGTAGGCTGAAGTAAGGCTCAATTTCTGTTTTACAAAGAAAATCTAGATCATGTGATCGGGTGTTTTTCGCTCATGAAACAAAACGACATAAACTGCCTATTCATTTTTAAAGTGACAAACTAGGTGTTGTTTGCAGTACATTTAAATGATTAGCAGCACTGTAGCATTTTGGAGCAAAGTGAAAGTTACCTTGTACTTGAGTTTCTTGCACTTTTCCTTCAGGTCATCCACATGTTTCATCAGATCTTTGACCCACTCTTCATTAGGAGGCACACAGAGGGTCCTCCCACGTCTGGACACAAACCTGCAGGATTATCAGATCAACCAGGACAGGGTGAGTGTGTGATCATTTACAATGTAAATCCTGATTTACCCCTATCTGCTGAATACACATCATCCACTTCACACCACTTTAACTTACACTGTGGCAGCAATATCGCAGCCCTCTCCTCTGATCTGCTGCTTGTAGTCCGCAACAATGTGCCTTTCGATTGTCTTGTTTAAGACTCTCAAGCAGCAGTCCATGGGCACCTGCGCCACGATCACTGAAAGACAAAAGAAAGCAGATCAGGTCAGCACAAAGGGACACTCCTTAAAAATGCTGCCTTTTGGGTAATATGCATTGTTGTTTCAAGGTTAGCTCTGAAATGTCGGCTTCACCACTGATGTCAGCGGCTTGAATTTCAGTGTCAGTTACAATCAGTTCCAGTAATTACTGCAGAAAACGTGTACGAGGTGTGTCAGAAAAGTTTCAGGACTGGTGTCAGAAAAGATAAACAACTACAAACTACAAGTCTAACCCACTCTCCCAGCCTTCTCTGCCACACCGCTATGTACTCCTGGAAGGATTCTTCCAGGATCCTCCACAGCTTTGTCGTCACAGCTGTCTTGACGTCGTCCACGTCTTCATAACGGGTCCCCTTGATGACCCTCTTGAGCTTGGGGAAGAGGAAAAAATCACACCGAGAGTAGGGAGGTTGCTCCAGCACGGTGATGTTCTTCTCAGCCAGGACCTGTGGGATGCTCAGGGCATTGTGAGCAGGCGTGTTGTCATGGTGAAGCAGCCACGACTTGTCCTGCCACAACTCTGGCCTCTTCACTGAACGGAGCAAACGCTGCAGGATCTCTTTGTAGACGTGGTGGTTGATCGTAGTTTATAGTTTGGGTTTGACATACATCTTTTGTGACACCAGTCCTGGAACCTTTCTGACACACCTCGTATAATGTGTGCATATTAAAGGTCAATGGTAGTTGATTAGAACATACTAAGCATATGGATGGTCAGAAGTTAGTTACTGTATGTCGGGGAAGTTTCTAAAGTTCTTATGTCTGTTTATGCCTCTTAATATGTGCCAAGACTGCAATCAAGCAATATGCAATGTAATGACTCCCTCATAAAGAGGGAAATTACAGACTTTTACAACCACCTTTTATAGCTACAGAGAGTTTTATACCTAAATGGGTGTAATTACTGTCATTAAATACAGTTCAGCTGAACTCATGACCTGATTCCCTCAGGATTTTAGTCAGGATTTTGATATTTCATCAGTTGCTTTTATTCTTTCTCATTTTGAACAAAATGCCAAAAACGAAACATTCGCTCCACATTCTGTAAAAATCTGAATTTTCTGTTGTCCTCAGTGCAACCCTGAACTTATGAATGACTCAGCAGTCAGGTGGCAAAAATGTAGGGACCTTCAGCTGAACTGCAGGCAGTGTAGAGCAGAGAAGAGACAAAATAAAAGTGTAAATAGTAAAATATCTATAGTGTGTAGATCAAACATTTTATTCCAGTATTGATAAGAAAATAAAAAATGTAGTTTGATTCCAATTTTTTTCAGTTTTTGTAAGAGAAATGAAACTTTCTTTTTCTTCTTGTTTATGATTTATGGTATAATAACTGTCTCTCTGTCTACTGATGAGGTGCAGGACTTTGTATTACAATTCAAAATGAGTGAAGAAATTGACAGGAGCAGAAAAGAAAAGAAAACACCTGTGCCTGGCGTTTGCTTCACTCACAACTCATAATTTCTTACAATGCAGTGGCATCCTGTCCAACAGCCTCATTAGCTCTTGAAACGAGACCGGGGATTTCCACAGTAAACCTTTAACTTTCACTGGCTGCAGAAAGGTGTGGTGCATGTAAGCATGGGGAATTACCTGCGCCACACCTCGCTGTGTTTACCCTGCTGCTTGCACTGATAAGTATCAGATTACATAAGTCTGCATAGATTTGAGCTTCAGAATGGTTGATTTCAATAATTAGAAAATACAACAAATATAAGCTTGATATGTGCCTAATGTGATTTTGTTTCTCCACATTATAAATCCACTAATCCTGTTACTGCTCCTCTCTGTTTGTGGCTCCTCCTCTTCCTAATCTCTCCATATTTATTTATGTGTTTTATCAAGTTCGTGCTCATCAAGATTAAAACCCTCTAAAGTGAAATTCACAACGTGTAGCCACGTAGCCTCAGCTACTTTCGAAATGTAAACTTGCAAATATTCCCTCAAGTGATTATTTAGGTTTTTTTTGCATGCTTGCATCCTTTGGGAGCCGTTCCAAGTGGAAATGTTTAGATAAATTACACCTTTCTAAGATAGAAAATGGCAATGACTCATTTTACTTTCTGCTCGAGAAGATAAAAGCGTTTGATGACGAAGCTGAGAGGAATGCGTGAGGAGACTCACCGGAGCAGCAGCAGGTGATGCAGAGGATGCAGAGGAAGAGTCTTGCGTCACCCCACGGAGCCATGTCTGATTGAGCTGGTGATGTCGTCCCTTGGCTTCTCTGGATGCTGATTGGTTGATCAAAGAGCCTGCTCTCTCTTTCCACACCACTCTGGGAAAAGAGCTGTGAGTGTTAGACTTTTTATACTGTCCACTTAGTTTCACTTTATGTGTTCCTCCTCCTCCTCCTCCTCCTGCCTCCCTTCCTATCCCCCCCTTCCAGTAAGATCACAGGTGTCACAGATGTCATCATCCTAAAAGTTTAGTCAAAAAACTCTTCAAGCCCCATGTGAACTGGAAATAATTCTCTTTTATGTTTATCTTTTCTGAACTCTTACCTTCCAGCACTGTTCTCTAACAAAACCATTTATCACACTCTAACACAGTTCTATAATCTGTGAACAGCCACCAGTATGGGTAAATGAACCCTCAATATACATTTCCACTTTAATAGATGCAGGATAGAAAACAATATATTCATTGTTAGGGGTACAGCACTCTGACCCCTAATAATGAGGAGCCTTAAAATAGATAAAATTATCTTTTTTATTTGCCCCTGAGGACTTTTTAGGAAAATATTTATGACTTTCACTGTGAGTATACAAAAATGTCTTCTTGATTATGTGCCAAACAAGTATCAAGCGCTACATTTCCCAGGCTTTTTATTGCCAATCATATGGAAAACTCATCATCTAGCAGAATCATTAACGTCACAACGACAAATAAGCTACAGTGAGTTTTAAGCTGCTGGAGTCGTAGAGATTTAAAAAAAAAAAATAAATCAAAAAAAGGTTGTATTGATAAAGACAAGGAAGTCCTGTTGTTTTTTTTGGTGAAGTGAAGTGAAACCATGCGTTAATTCTGTTCCCAGGAAAATGTGGTTCTTCTTTTGCGGGTCGTCTGCAAACATACTTGACCTCATGACTCAGCTGATGCGTGTTGATATTCTGCGAGACAATACACAAGCAAAATTAGACAAAAATAAATGTATCTTTTTAATGTACCAAAGGCAATAAAAACAATCAGACAATAAAATAAATGTACTAAACGTTCCACTTTCGTTTGGCTGCTGAATACTGCTCTTTAAAATGGGCACGACCACAAGATAAAGGCTCTGAAGGAAAAGCAAAGACGCCACTGAGGCACTCCCTCTCCACTAATGGTAGCAGTGAGTTACTCTATAATTTTCCAGCACTTAAAACATAAAAGGAACAATCTGGAAAGAGGTCAAAACAAATATTTGGAGTAGCAACCATGGATGGAATAAAAGAGATATTGTTCAGGAGTTTTGGGCTAATTAACCTGTGGTTAAACGGAGGATAAATCCGGTCTGGTCTGGCAAATGGACGCAGTGGCCCCTTCAGGAGACAACGAAAGTGGACGTTTTGAGTGTCTTGCCTATCCCAGACGTTAATTTTTGCAAAACTTACAGCCGAGAGACTTTGCTGAACGTCAGGGCAATGAATGTCAATAAAATTGTGGCGCTCGGTTGTGATCTGGACACACTACACCAACACGGAGTTTGATCGGAGACGACGCCGGCAGTTACCTGAGAGAGAAGGAAGTGCAAATGGTATGAACGGAAACAAAGGAGGAGGAAGAGAGCCAGGATCCATGCTAGGCTAAAGGCTAACCCCTCCAGACCAGCAGGACCATCGCTCCTACTCTCCAGTGTCCGCTCCCTCCACAACCAGCTGGATGAGCT